ACATCTTTAATTCATATCTCACGCATCACCTCAATGTCACTAAGTCCCAAGGATAAATTTTACGCTGCCTATTTCTACCATTCTTTGCAGCTCATTCTATTCTACCCATTTACTAGAGCTTCTCTTCTGTGCATGCATACACACCTACCCAGGATCAAGTTCCATAAGCTTCACCAGATCTTCAGTTTGCCATTTTATTGTAGCAACCTCCAACGTGCCCAAATTTCACACCATTTCTTGTAAATGGTAGTCTCCATCATTCATTTCTCTGTTTCAAGCAGCGTTAATTAAGTGGCCTGGCCTCCAATGTGATTAGCCTTAACACTCCTGACTCCCTAACAACTATCTTATTCAGCTTCAAACACTTTCCACCTGTGTCTGAACTAATGGTCATATACCTTTACTAATCCATGGCCTCTCTCCAGAGGCAAGTTTCCCAATGGTCTTGCCAAAAAGTAACTATCCTTGACTCAAACCCTATCACAGGAGACTAGCCTTGTGCATCAATAGAACATTAAGGGTAATGTTTCCTTCATGTAACTGTTAAGTTCCAAAGGGAAGGTCTGTTTTGCTTACCATTGTGCTCTCAGCTTCCAGGGCAGTTCTTCCAGTCAACTTTTTTGAATACCTGAACATAACCTAAACTAGTTCACCAAATATGAGGCATTGGAAGAAAGCCCTCCTTGGGCCTGGAGTAAGCCTGTCATTTGAAAAGGCCATTAGAATCGACAGCACTAAACACCAGTCTTTAAGATTTATATAATTTTAAATGCTACTTCCTGGCACTTAATCACTACACAAATTTTCAAGAAGCACATTAAAACTGTTTCAAAACATGTTATTTACAGCATAAATTTTAGTACTCCCCAGTCTCAAAGATTATAATGATCCATGTAAGCTGTGATGGTCAAGTCCAATGTTCTCATCCAGGACAGCCTAAAGGAAAAACAAACAAACAACACTCAGTCAAACTTAACTACACACATCTTAAGAATATAATAGTAAACTCACTACGTACTTCCGCACTGTTTCTGTACTTAGCTTTAAACTACCACCAAATTGTCTTGTCTTGAGATTCGACAATTTTAAGCATCTTGTTTGCTACAGAGGTAGCAGTTGTTAGCACCTGGCTCTAAACACTTACTAGACAAGGGACTACCAAAAAGGTTGCAAACCCCCCAAGAGTAACTTTATGCCAGACCTACTTTGATTATATCACTCTACCTTATTCACCTTTGTGCCTCGGCTGGTACTCAGTTCTCAGTAGTCTGTGCTCCAGACACCCATCTCACCTGAATAAAAATTAGTTGAAGGGAAACACATGTAAATAAATTCATGCAAAAGTACAATCTGTTACTTAGCAGTTCAAACTGAACTGTCACACATGTAAATAAACTGAAGGTCACACATGTAAATAAATTCATGCAAAAGTACAATCTGTTACTTAGCAGTTCAAACTGAACTGTCACACATGTAAATAAACTGAAGGTCACACATGTAAATAAATTCATGCAAAAGTACAATCTGTTACTTAGCAGTTCCTATGCCAAAGACAGAAAAGTCAGAGGCAGGAAAAGCCTGCAAAGTATTTAGTTTATGCCTTTTTTGACACCACATTCACTAGTTTTCAAAAGTGAACGGGCAACACAAAGGCTACATTTAATAAGTCAGAAACTGTGGGCTCTCACCACCCAACCCCCGCGGAAGAGCTGCAGTGCTGTGGCCTCTTCAGCATGAGTTAGACCCCAGGCCCTGGAAGTGACTGACCCAGGCCGGGTATCAGTCCTCTGCCTTCTCACTGGCTGCTCCCCTCCGCAGTTTATTTCTAGGCCTGCCTGTTCTGCTCCCCACACTCTCTGGTGAATCCTCTCACCGCCCTTGCACCTCTGGCCAGAACCCCAGTTCTGTATGCATAAAGAAAACTATTCGACCCCCACACCCACTCCTTGCACAGCAAGCACATTTGGGAGGCCCAGTCGATGGGGAAATCGCTAACGTGGCCCTGAATGCCAAGCCCTGTGCCAGATGTCCCCGCGGGAACTGGAGCAAGTCCTGCTCCAGAGCAAGGGCAGAAAATGGTGGAAAAGAACCGCAACCCGGCAGGCACAGCCCTTTCCCCCAGCTCACCTGCTGCCTGCCCTGTCTGAGGCAGTGGGCCCTGCTGTTATTGCTCCCCCAAGCTTGGGTCTCTGGCCTGACACCACGTGGCCAAGTCTAAGGCACAAACCGGCCAAGTAAACGGGTGCTCATTAGACGTCCCAAGGGAAGAACTAACCCGGACTCCGCTTGGTCTTTCACCATTCAACACCCGACGGGGTAATGAACACTGAAGTGGTTATTTAAGTGACTGAAGCCTTACAAGAAGCGGCAACGGGCTTGGCCAGGGTTGCGGCTCACCTGGGAATCAGCGACTCCAGCTCCGTGTCCGCCAAGTCGGCACCTGGATCCACCCGCAGAGCCTAAACCCTGAGCGCACTACTTCCTGCCTGCGCGGGGGACGGTGCAGGCGGCCCGCGCACGCCCTGTGGCCTCGTCACGCGGCGCGCCGGGCGGTTGGACGCTCCAGGCACC